ACTACTCTCCTCCTCCTCCTCCTCCTCTCTCTCTCTCTCTCTCTCTCTCTCTCTCTCTCTCTCTCTCTCTCTCTCTCTATCTCTCTTTCTCTACTCCTCCAACCCCCGATCTCGGCACGAGATTCTCGATGTGGGGGAAAAGCGCGCGTGGGCGCGTAACGTTCTCGCGTGGGCGTACGGCCTGTTGCGGGGGCTGAAGCTAGGTGATTGGGGATGAATACAGAACGAGGGGTAAAGGCCAGAGAGAGAATCTCTTCTCCCTCATGGTTCGCTCGGATGTACGGCGCTAGGCTCTGCCGACTTTGCCGCAAGATCGTTGTTGGATTTTTATTCTAAAAACTCGAGCAGCCATATCCCACAAGGCATAATTTGTTTTGACTTTGTAGATATAATTTACATGAATCTTGGGAATCGAAAAACTACGGCTAAAGTGTGTCCTTAGATTACGAAAACTCTCAAGTTTTTTTTTTATCATATTTTCAATCTCATTTTTCGTAAAAATGACATTTACAAATTGTAAATAAAAATTTTCAAAAATAAAAGTACTAATTATTTAAACATATATAATGTAATAATAATGAAAACAAATTTAAAACTAATAAAGAAAATAAAAGTTTAATAAATTCATTATTAATTCTATCACTTTTTGTAGACACATATATAAAAATATCTAAAATATCTAAAAGGCCGTAAAAATAAAATTTACAAATTGTGAATGAAAATTTTCGAAAATTAAAATATTAATTATTGAAACGTACGTGATGTAATAATAAAAATAAATTTAAAACTAATAAAGAAAATAAAAGTTCAATAAATTCGTTATTAATTCCATCACGTTTTACATATATAAAAAAAAAATCTAAAACAAAGGCCGGAAAGCCTATTTTAGCCTGTCGTGCTGCTATTGAATTTTTATTGATTTCACCGCTTGTTTCCTGCCTGTTTACGCTGTTACATTCTCATTTTTTAATCGTCGTGCCGATTTCTTTTACCGGAACGCTCGTATTGTGAAAATAAATGTTTGAAAAGTAGAGATAGATTGAGGTGGCAGATAATGTGCCGTCTGAAAATAAACACGCCTCTACTACTCAAGTATACATGTTCCTGTCATAGACCGTAGAGCATCGCGTCGCGTACAACGTCACCGTTTCAAATGCCAAAGAAAACTACCCCTATGACGTTTGCGTAACTGCCGCATTAAAATTAAAGACAGGCGGGTAACGTCATCGTGGACGTTATGTGACGCAGTGGGGTTGCTATGCCCGGTAACATGCTTCAACTTTCTATTAATTCTTCCGAGCATCTGTGACTTACGTTTCACGTTGCGAAGGAGTACGCTAACAATAGCGAAACAATGTCAATCTTTTTTTTTAACGCTAGATCGAAAGTAGGAATGTAAAAATATATTTGTCAATGCAAGACAATTCGCCTTTATAAATTTAACGAGAAAATTATAAATATAAGAACTGCAAAGCAGAAATAGTTCAATAGAGAATATAAATAAATCGCGTACTTTGCAGCTCGATCGCGGTAAGGCGGAGGCGTTGCATTCTTTCAAGACGAAGCTGGCCGTTCAGCAGGTCGTGTTGAGTTTCAAGGGCTGGCAGGAGAGCCGTAAACGGACCTATGCCCTTTCGCCGAAGAAAAATGTCGTTCGGGTTACAGAAATATCGAATTATAGCGAGGCGATTTGTGCGGACTCTCGCATTTCCTTCACGTTATATAAAAGCTCCTTCATACGGGATTCAACGATAAGAGGATGATTCAAAGGATGCCTCGATGCGAACGGCTTTACACTTGGCGCTTTAAGAAAAAAAAAAAGAAAATTAAAATGCATGCATTATGCATCCCCGACGGGGATGCGGAGAGCGAGGACTCCCCATTCGCCGGTGTTATGACTTCTAAACCGATAACGCTCGATAACGATCGCAAAACGCGCGGTAAATATCTTACACCTCGGCAACCGCTAACGCCGGCTGACAGGCTTTCGATAGGCAAAATAACAACATAATTCCCACGCAAAGGCGATCCTTACGACGCCACGGAAGGGAGCCGGAAT